GGGAGGGGGTTCTATGAGAAGTAGCAGTTTTACCGTGCCTTCGATTAGTGACTGGCGCGTGACTGGGGAAAATAGACAATCGGAAATTTCTTTCAGATGCCAGCACGTTGACCAGAAAATATCTGGAAGAGAATAAATGTGACGTATTGAAATGGACTGGGAATCCTAAATGTGGATCTAATGTCAATTAAAATAAAATAATGCAAATGGCATCAGAACGAATAACATCCACGGCAGGCAGGCTGATTGCCGAATGGGGTTGAATGCTGGGAGGGTCGAGACAATAGCCCCACGACTACCCACAACGGCGGCGACGACGCCCTTCGCCTTCTGAATACCTCCATGACGTCAACGCGTCGTTTAATTGGTGCTGTTTCCACTGAATAGCTCCATAGAGTGCATAACAAAGGCAGGTAGAGTTTATGTGGGAGTGGTGGGTCCTGAGACGATAGATGCCGCTGTCGACATCACATCGGGTGACGCAGAAGACCACAACGATTCATACTAATCCCTGACGTTTGTTTACTTTCACAGAAGGAAAAAGCGACCATCAAATGCTGTAAACATAGAAGTAGGCGACTTAACGCGTTTTTGGCTGAGCGCCAAAAAATATTCCGAAAAATTATTTCAGAGACGAAATGGTTAGCGCTGGAGAAAGTCAGCCTTGGAATCGGTGTGTGTTCTAGAAGCGGAGTTCTTAACCGGGAGGAAAGGAGGGTTGTATTCGGAAGTTGCCTTGGGAGGGGTGTAGTACGTGGTCTGACGAAACTTTGTATAATCAATAATGTTTTCGATTCGGGCGTGCTGGGTAGCTTCTCACGCCCCTCTTCCTTTCTGCACTGGGTGGTGCGGTAATTTCTTCCATTTATAATATTTGATCGGAAGTTTTTACATCCACCCCCTCCTCCAACCAAGGCGAGTGACAGTGGTCGTCTGGAGAAGAAAATAAATAACGGGAGGTCCCAGTGAAGAATAAACTCCTACGTCTCCAAAAGTCCTTGCTTTGGAACCCGCTTTCGACGAGGCTAGAAAAAAATGCCCATGCCCCCGAAAAAGTTGCTTTTTTTGGGCAATTAATCATTCCTCGTGCCAGGCGCCTTCTCGATCAGGGCACGCGCTGTTCGTCTGGGAAGAAACTCTTTGTGTAAACCAGCAAATCTCCCTGAAAAAGTTCTCCCCTGACACCACGCTCTCCCATCACCATCGCTATCCCTCCTCCCTCCCACAACTTACAACGTTGCCGGAGTTTCTTTTTCCAAAAGTTTCCCGACCTTTTTCCCGAAAAACTGCCGCTGTCCAGCGAGTGAGGTGGCAAAGGACACCTGACCCAGGAAAAGGCGAGGAAACGTTAACGCCTGGAAACCATTTCTTGAAGGGAATTACAACCTCGTTCTTCCAGACGTGGAATATGACCCCCCCCTCGCTGGGGAACCCAATGTACGACGTACTGTGTTCTGGATTCAACATATCAGCGATCGATCGATATTATCAGTGATCCGAACTCAGGGAATGATTACCGTACCTCATCACAAGCAGCACATCGTGGTTTGTGCAATTCCGCGTAGTGCCGTTCACAATAGATCTGGTCGTCTTTCACGCAGTAGGTTAGGTCGACGAGAAGCTGAAAGAAACTAATTATGGTCAAGAATCGATTTTACGGGTTTCCGGAATCCGGAGAGGGGATCGTTGGGCACTGTTCCCACTTCATTACCCCTCACTTCGAAATATCTTCTGGATTTCGTTGGAAAAGGCGTCGGCCCCCATAGAACCCCTCGGAACTTCAGGTTTATTGATGGCTTGTACTCTGCGATATTTTGATCCTTTGAACACGGATATCGCTATAGCAAGGCCTGCATACGCCTGAAACTGCGCCACAAGCGCCGGCACCTCTTCTGCGGGGCGCGCGCATTGCCGCGGACGCTGCTCATCTCTCACCGCCAATAATACGGATCGCGATATTCGTGTTCAGGGGCGTCGGACGATCGCTGGCGGCCAAATCTGAGGCGAAATCTTACTTCAGATAGAAAATAATTCGATCATAAATTTACGCCTAAATTTGCAGTAAGGCTGGTTATGGAAACGCAGTTAGCTGAGGAGTGAGTAAGAATTTTATCTCTTCCAAAGAGTATGAGTAAACCCCAGGCATTTCTTATTCCTGACAGCAGGAATCATAACTTTTCCCTTCCTCAGTATGGCGTTTCCGGGCGGAAAAGGCTACCCTTAGAGCAAGAATTGCACGCTTTTCACGATTGATGTCCTGAATGACGGGAAGGCCACGCAAAACTCACCTGTTCACAAGTGGCACAGGTGAAACAGGCGGGATGCCAGCCAGTCGAATCACCTAACTTTGGCGCTATCACGGCCATTTCGTTGCGTTCCAACACTCCAGAGCACTTGTGACACTCCTGAATACGGTATTTTGCCAAATCTAGGAGAAGCAAGTGGGAAAGATCATGTGGGAGCGTACCATACTCTTGGGAATATTTGCCGCCACATAGCCAATATCAAGGGCGATCTCATTTCGAGCATTGATAAATTCTTCATAAACCTGAAATACTATACATACAGAGATTATTACCGACCTTAGAAAAGGTCAAACCACTAGAACATCTTTCGATCAGCTCCCGGAATCTAGAAGCCTCGAGGACACATTCCGCAACAATCGAATGGGCGGAGACATGGGAGGAAACTCATGACCATTGCGCGCTCCTCATTGACGTGCTGCTTTTCTTCAACCTGTGGAAGGAGGAGGAGTTATCGACCCATTCGTTTTATCACGATCCAACGAGAGATTGCGTGAGATCGCCATTGGTCGTAATGGTCCAGTATGCATTCGAACAGCACAATCGCGAGCGGGATTCTAATGTGTGGTACATGCCAAGGGGGGGTGATCACCATAAGACCGCTAAGCCTTTTTGCAGGGGCACTTGTCAATGTAGAAATACATGTGCGCACAGACCTGCAAAATTGTAAAGTCACAATGTCATAGGGTATGTCTTGAACTTAAAGACACATTCCGCGATGAGCGCATAGGAGGAGAAAAGGGCGGAGAGAATAGCTGACCCCTGTGCCCTCCTCAATAGTGGGCTCCTACTTCTGGAATGCTGAAGAGAAGGATTACACCAATGAGGAAAGGGCACAGCTTGTAGATTCCCGCCCATTTTTTGCACTCGTCGATCGCGGGAGTGCACTAGTTGTTAGACCATGTCCCGATTCCTTCATTTCTCGCCAGATGAAAGTGCGCAGCGCTCGCTTCGCCGGCTAGGAATGTATCATCAGCTAAGTGAAACCTAATTGAATGAGTGCTTCGGCTGACCTTACACAGAACTAACACCTACAAAAAAACCACAGGCGCCCATAATTCTTTGTAAGACCCACCTTTCGTTCAGCATTGCTGCCTAAGTGCCTACAGTAGGCAACGGACAGATCCTGTCGTGGTAGTTGTGTGAGCAATTGCTTTTCACGATACTTTTCACCGCTTGAGTTCACTCGCGGCACGATGTGATTTGGCAACTGAGCCATGTATTCCTCAACCTGAACAATCGATAATAATCAATAACTATACTCTAGGGCCAGCTGGGTGGTTTGACCACCCTCTAAGCTATTTAATAAACTAACTAAAAATACTATTCAGTCGCTTCTTTCCCTGATGAGATGTACGCGACTGGCCAGATATGCAAGAAAGGGCTAAGACTATACGCTATAGCCCTCCTGGACGAGTTTGCCCTCCCACTGTTCACCATGGAAACTTACATCGATTAACCATGGAACTTGTCGACTAGCGGCGAATAGTGACGAGACTTCGGTCATGAATTTGATCATGACGGGATCCTCGAGCATGCTTTCCGTTAGCAAACCCATCGTCGTTGCGATGGTCCAGTAGACGAGCCAGGACTGTCCAGAATCAGAATCCGAGCCACAGCTGAACGGTAAATACCGACGATCCGAACAGCGAAGCGCTTCGCGAGACGGTCGAATGATTGGAAATCGTTAGAAACTGGCAGTACTGGGTGAAAAACTTGAAGAAAGTGAGACCTGGGGAAAAACCACGGCCTTGACATGGTCAGAAACAGGTAGCGAAAAAATAGAGAGAGAAATAGAAAAGGGAGAGATTAAACAAAAAAGAATTGAAAAATGAAAACGAAGAGCTAGGGAACAGTTTGTGGAGAAATTGTATTCCATGGGTCACAAGTGGTAGCAAAGGCCCGAAATAGGTCTATTGTCCCTCACTAGAACATAACGCATTGAAATACGGCATAGTGTTCCATAACTGAAAGCCCGAATAGTAGGTGCCACTGAAGGTGTTGCGGAGGGGGGGGGGCGTAAATTTTGGAGCATAGACGCATGGCACTGCTCGCCCAGGCGCGCACTGAATGTGGGAAAGTGAGAGATTTCTAGGCCGGATATAGAAAAAAATAGCACAGATCCTTGCAAACGAAAGGAAATAATAGTTTCGGGAGAAGGAGGTATAAGAAGTATCCGCGATACCAGTAGGAAGAGAGAAGAGGGGTAGGAAGACGAAGAAGAGGAAATGGGGAAGAAAGAGGAACAGGATAAGGTGGGAGAGCATTTTTAATAAGAGTATAAGAAGAAAGAATAGAAAGAAAAAGTGGAGGGGCAGCAAAGGGGAGGAAGGGAAAGAGGAGCATGAGGAACAAAAGGGGCAAAAAGAGCGAAGGAGCAAAAGGAGCAAAAGGAGCAAGAGGACGAGAAGGACGATGAGAGGAGGAGAACAAGGAAGAAGAGGAGAGTGAGAAAGTGTACGGGGAGGAAAAGAAGGAGGAGGAAGAGAAAGCAGGGTTACTTCTGTTCTTGATAACGGGGGAATCGAAAGCGCGACGAAAGGTTACTACAAAGTTCGAAAGAGCGGGAAACGAGCGGCAATGGATAGCTATCGCAGGAGATAACAGACTGAGGCTGCGCAGGGTGTGACTAGGAAGGTCTAAGCTTGTTTTGCTGTCGCAGTCTGCAGCTGGCAGTCCTGCAACTCACACTTTATCCGAATCACTGACAAACGCGGAAAAACAAACTCCCTGAGATTACAGAGGTGCTTTTTTCATGCACTTTTCATCGCAAAGCTCATTTCAACACATAGAAGCAATCGCCGAGCCGCCGGCGAAGTACGTGGCTTAGCCAACAGTGGGCTGCAAATGGTTTTTCCGACCCGCGAACAGGCCCAAAACAATCGCCAACACCGTTTCAAAACCCGACAAATTTGTTAGTGGTCGTAGAGCGACGTTCGTAAACATCGGCTCCCGCGTTACAAGCGTGAACTAAGTCCAGACAAAGGAGATCTAGAAGGGCGTTGTGCGGGGAAGAATTGTCATTGGATAATCTTATTTGAATGTTTATTAATACCATTCTAGAGAGCGAATGAGGAAAAAACCAGAAGGGTATGAGAGAGCGCACACCACTAGAAGGAAGAGTTTGGATGAGATAGATCGATATACTAGTTATATAAAGTGCAGCTTGTTCTCTGCGATTACGTAGTACATGGGTGCTGCAATTGGATTTCTCAACAGAGCCCCCTGTAAAGCTTTTGGAAGGTCTTTGCAAATCTTTCTGCCCATATTTCGAGGCACTAGGCAAGGAACGAGGCAAGAGCTACAAGACAGTGCCAAAGAAGGCCACACGAACGCTTGGTACAGAATCACACACTACACCACGAATGATGGCCAGTTAGAAAAGCTGAACGTCGTTCCACTTGCAGGCAGACTTTCTACACGTGATTTACCGCTGGCACTACAAAAGACATCGCATTGATGGAGTTGATGCGTCATGACCGAGTCATACGGCCATAGACCATGCCGCCTTTACCATGCACCAATATAGCCCAACTTGCCCCATTAAACCATAAGCTTTCCCCATTCAAGAGCCAAGCACTGACCATCAGCTCCTGACCACAAGCTACATCACCATATGTTCCTACATCCCTCTACAGACAGCCTCCCCTTACCCTGGCCAGTCGCATCCCCTTTCAGGAGGCCGCAAGGCTCAGGCCGACTACTGTAAGGGGACCAAAGAGGCTGTGGGAACGCGAAAATCATTAGGTCAAATCTAGTCAGTCTTTGCCCATTCTGGAGCTGCACAGATGACGCCTAGGAGGATAAAAACGGGTATGGCAACACGGAATTGTAGCGCCAATTGCATAGCTCCAAGAGAACTGAAGAGACTGAGCGATTTCCATAGGGAAGCAACAACTGGCGCAACTCAAACAGGTTAAAGAATCGAATAGTTTACCCGATACTTTACCATCAGAATACCTAGAATTATAATAATCACCTCCAAAGAAACATCTTGCATCTCCCCCCCCCCGGGTGTTTATGGGAATCACAAGAGGGAGAAGGTGAGCCAGAAGCTCAATTCAAAACCCAACCACCATCTCGATGTATCTGCAAGATCCCAAATGCTTGTGGAATAGGAAACAGGGAGCGCCAGGATTCTTCAGAAAGAGGGCATTTCTAAAACGAGTACCACTGCTGCTATGTGGGGCGTCCAATTGGGAACACGATGGTGTTCAGAGGCTCGTGCTGAAGGATGGAGCTCCCTTTGCTCTCAAGCTCAACAATGTAGTAACGGAAGCTGGTTCAGCGTTCATTATTCCAAGACACTATGGATTACACGACCAAGAAGAGTCAGAGAAAGAGAGCTGGATCGAAGTCGAGAAGAAGCTCAAGTGATAGGAATGAACTGATAAGAAAGAGTTTGGGAAGGTATGGACTGGAAGGGTTAGCAGTTGGGCAGCAGTTATCTCCAGGTCAAATCCGTTATGGTGCACTCAGAGCATCCCTTCTGTGAAAAAGGATATCTTTTTGTGGTGTGCGAGCAGGATTACCGCACTTGAAATTGCCCTTCTCCCCCTTCCCACATTTTAGGCCTAGGGAAAATCTCATACTCACAGGGGCAATCCCAGTTTCGCACAGGGTAGGGTCGCTTTGAATTGACACTCCTACCAACGGGACAGCGCCCTATCCCTACTTTCACAGCAATTTAGAGGTAGGGCCTTGACTCAGCAGGAGGCTTTATTCCCGAACTTTTAGCCAGACTTCATTGTAAGGAGAAGAATAGAACGCTGAGAGTTCAGTACAGCTCGCGCTAGCGAATGGAAATCGAAAAGGTGGAGAGAGATTCAAAGCAGCGCTCAGAATCAAAAGCGGAGAAATCCTCCTAGAGGTGGACACAGCGGGGAACGACACGCGCTGGACTGAGGGGACTCTCAGCCGTTTCTCCTCTTTATAAGCAAGAAACACTACGGAAACAAGAGGATGAAGAAATGAACGAGGCCAATTATACCGAGGCGAAGGCCTAGATTTCAAGATTGAATTGCCGTATCGAAATTGCTTCCCACCACATTTGAATCGCAGCGATTTTAATTCAAATCCCTTCTTCAATCACGCCACAAGATCGAAGCGGTTTTACGACGGAAAAATCGCTTGTGAAGGAGAGCCAAGGTAGAATCTCTGCAGACAACTCGTCGCCTGAGTTACAAGTGCTTGTGGACTCTGACAGCAAAAACTCGGACAGTGCAAAAAATGCCACCGTAATCCGGGAGATCCTCGGCGGAATGCGTGAATATTGTGGAAGTCGTGGAGGTAGTCAAGAAAACGATCCGAGTGTTCGGGAGTGATTCTCCGTGCGGTGATAGCAATAATACTTACGGTAAATAGGAACGGAACAGCAGCAGCTACAACTGAAGTGGAAAAGGGGCAGAGCGTAGACATCGAGAGTCCAGGTGAACAGACAAAGACGCAGAGAACCCACAAAAAGATTACCTCCCGACGAGATGTCATAACAAGTAACCAGTCAAAAAACTAACACTCAGTCCATCTGTCCAGTCGCGTCACTCATTTGACATCAGTAAAAACCCCGTTTCAAAGCACTTCTACTCAAAGATTTATACCTACACATACCTCTTGAACACAGTAATGCTATACTCACCTTCTTACGAGTCAATCCAGGCGGGACCCATGCGTAACCGTGGCTCACCGAACCGGGTGTGTCGTCTCGGGTACTGCTGATCGGCATGTTTGCTGTAATTAAAATTTGTATTGTATAGCTAAGAACTACATGTGGATTCACTAGAAACCACTGTAAGAAGACATATATTGTATTTATTATTTATATATATTTGTATTTGATAGACAATGAATTTATCACTCCATCCGCGAAGATGGGGAGGGCGTGGCTGCGTTCACGCGAACACTGCTTCGGACAATTATAACTATGTCATCGTACAACACAAGCCATTATGACAGCTGTCTCAAATGAAAATATCCCTTCAAACCCGAGCGTAGGCCATGTTCATATTGTGCACGCAGCCACGCCTCCAACCATCTGTAACGTGACATGGAGTGCACCCTAATCGAGAGCACTGAGGCGTTTAAGAAAGAAAAGACCTAATTATAAATACCTGACTGCGCAGGAGAAATAATTTTTGAAAAAGAATGGCCCCAAGGGTTCATTATTTTGATAAATTAGAAAGCATCCAGCTTACTGGTGGTAGATGATTTAGGGAAATTCCAGAGGCAAAAACTTTTCGAAACGTTTTGGACTGTTCCGAAAAAAACTGTGATTTTGCAGAGCATCCTTCAAAAAAGTATAAACAGCGTTCTTAAAGACGCTGTACATGCTGCTCACAAGGAGGGGGAGGGGGGGTTAACTCGCGATGCTTTCTCCCTGGTGCGCACTCCTTCTGGAAAAGACTGGCATGCCTACGAGATGGGCACAACTGTCTGACTGTCTCCGCCCATTCTAAACATGTGGACTGTGTTTTGAAGAGTCCTTCGAAGTTTTCATAAATCACCTATCTCTCTTTCATAGTGCCTTATAAGAGGCCTCTAGCGGGATCAATTTGGGAATAT